CATGATGTGGCACAGCAGCTGGTCCTGTAATTCAGAGGTCATGAAGTAGTAGAGGACTGGGTCCAAGCAGCAGTTGAGGCTCGCCAGGCAGAGGGAGATGGGGTGAAAGCGGAGTGTGCTCCTGTGGACAGCGCAGTCCTGGATGATGTTCTCTATCACCATCATGAAGAACGGGAAGTTGATGTGGTAGGGGGTGAAGCAGATGAAGAAGACAGCCGCGCACATCAAGACCATGCGCAAAGCCTTCTGCTTCTCACTGGTGTTCTGCAGCTGCGTCGGACACTCCCGCAGGGACTGCCGCATCTTCCAAGTGCAGCAGGCAATGATGCCAAAGGGGATCACAAACCCAAACAGCTCTGCCACTGTCACCAGCGCGATGGAGGCTCCTGGGCTCAGCTGCTTAACCCCCAGGTCTGAGAAGCACGTGTTTGTGCTGTTAGACAAGGCTGGGCTCCTCACTATGAGCAGGGGCAAGCACGCTGCCCCCACGAAGAGCCAAACAGTGGCGCTGATGGCTACGTCATACCGCCGCTTCCAGTCCTTGGCTTTGAAGGGATGGAGGAGGAAGAGGTACCGCTGGACGCTGATGCAGGTGAGGAAGCAAATGCTGGCATACATGTTGAGATACTTCAGGTAGAAGCACACCTGGCAAAGAAAACTTCCAAAGGGCCATGTGTGGTTTATGTAGTAATACATGCGCAAGGGCAACGAGAGGACATGCGCCAGATCAGCCACCGCCAGGTTGATCATGAAGATGACGGCTTTGCTCTTCTTGCTGATGAAGCGGCACAAGACCCAGAGGGCAGCACTGTTGGCTAGGAGGCCAGGGATGAATATGAGGGTGTAGGTGGTTGCATACAGAGTGGACTGGAAGGACATCTGGGGACTGGTGCAGTTTCCAGAGGACGCGTTGCTCTCCATCTCAGCTGAGTTTCTTCGCTCATGGGCTGATTAAGGCAGGTGGAGGGTTTCTGTAGGGAATAAAAACAGGTGGTGTAAAGCCAAAAAATCTCCAGTATTGAGTAAATGCACTTCAGTACAGAAGAGTAAGTTGTGTGTAGGTGTGTGCAGGCGTATGTCCAAGACGAGGGGTGTGTTGGGAAGGGTGCAGAGCAAAACCCCACTTACAGGCAGCGATCCCAGACATCTTCCCCGCAGCTCCTCTCAGCTGTGCTCTGCAGGGTTTCATACCCTGCCACCCTCTGAGGCAATGCCACAATTACAGTGACATTGCAGTTGAGCTCCGTAGCATTAGTCACTTCATTGCTAATGCCAGAGAGCTGCTTCTGCTCGCTGGGCTTTTTCAGGACCACTTTTACTGCATATAGTTTTCTGTCAAACTGGTGTGCTCTGATATGTCTACAATTTCAATGGGATTGTAAATAAATATGGCCTTGAAATGTGTCTAGACATTGTCTTTTCAGATCCATGCAGTGGTCTGACGTGAATTGGCAGTGAGGGCAATAATTAGCATCAGCAAATGATGGTACTGGCAGGCAGCTGACCAGAGCAGAGGCCAGTGGAGAGGTGCAGACAGATCTATCAGAGCTCTGGCTCCAGATTTAAGGCTGTATTTATAAGTTAATAGCTGGCAAAACACAGGCCAGTTGCCCTGCCAGTCCCGCTAACTCAATTCCAGCACTCACGGCACATTGTGCAGGCATCGTGTTATAGCAACAGAAATTATCTTCCAGCAGCAGTTCAGGATGTGAGGGACAATAACCACATCTGTCTTTTAGTTAAAGGAGAAATCCTTTTCATCCATTTACCCATTTTGCCTCATCCAGACAGCGCTGAGGGTACCAGCAGGTCATGAGGAGTTCACAGGTACTTGTGCAGTTCTCCGGAGAGGAGATGGATTTCGATGTTCATGAGCAGAGCCTGCAGGGAAAATGGTCTGCTCTTTCGGGAAGAGGCAATTCGGTAGCAGCAGGATACAAATCAAGGGCTTGTAGCATCGTCTGCACAAAACCAGTGCAATGTTCCCTTTAGAAAGGGAAAGCAGAGCCTTGAGCCTTTGCTCCAGGAGAGCAGAGCTTGAGCTGGCAGAGCCCTGAGCACCTTTTGCCATTGCCACTGAGCCTCTCAACAGTGGTGTTTAATTAAGAAGCAGTCACTGGTGCTGTTTCCAGCAGCCCTGAGCCTGGTGTTTGCTCCAGGGATAGATTTCTAAAGGTAGTCACCCACAACGGGAACTGAGCTTTTGCGCAGAGCCCAGTGTTGCTTTGAGGCATGGGGTGAAGGCTCTACTACCCTCCTCCCCCTCACCTAGGCAGCTCTTCAGTGGTGTTGGCATGTTTTCAGTTTCAGGAGGAATTTATATATTGATATACCACATAAATATGCTCATAGATATACATATATGTATAAAATATAGCCAGCAGCCTCTTGACTTGCAACCTGAGCTGCAGGCGGGCTGCTGGACTCATGCACTTTTCGAATACTGACTGTGCTTGAGCCAGTAACCCTGGGCCAGAGGTTTCTGATTTCTCTGTCAAGACTGGGGACTGCGGGAAAGAAAATCTTTTGGTCCCTATAGCATCCTCACATGCTCCTTGCCTGCCTGAAAACCCAGGAGGGGATTGTGCTTGGCAGTGACTCCACTTTTGGCTGGTGCCCTTTGCACCTAGTCTGCTTAACCCTGGAAAAGTGGTGGCAGGAGACCTTGTCTTCACATCCTTGCAGAAAATAGGGAGGGAAAACTGCTGAGGAGCGTGGGGAATGCAGCTTTTCTCTTGTCATGGTCTTCCAGTGACCACTTGCTGGTCTGGGCTTGTGAAAAGGTTTATAGAGTGCCAGCTGCCCCTGTCCTGCCATCATCTCCCTGCCACACGTCTCAGCCCAAATCCTAAACCTTGTCCCTGCAGACATGACCATGGGGAGCCTCCTTGCTGGTTTTCTCCACATTTTGCCTTTCCCTGGAAGCCCAGGAGTGCTTGTTTCTTATTAGGAGGGTTGGGTGTCACTCCTGGTACCAGACACTTTCAGTTTTTAGGTGACAGTGACTGTCAGGACACCTGGCAAGAAAGCAGCAGGAGCATCCCGCTGAGCTGGGATCAGGCCAGTGCTCATTCACTACAGCACTTCCTGAAAGAGCAGATTTTTTTATTTTTATTTTTCAGTCTTTGCCTTCCTTCCTGCCTGTGCCTTGCCCCGAGCCCCTCCAGCTCCCTCTGTGTTCTGCTGTCAGTGATGCTGGTGTCGGGATAGAGGTGCTCCCATGGGCTTTGGCAGGGGTTTTGTTCAGCAACTTTATAAAGCTTATATGAAATACTCCCTGCTATTCCTTCATTATTATCCTATTTCACCCATGTATGGATTTACACATGGGCAAGAGCTGGTTTATTTTATTTTTAACCGGCATAGCTCAGGTTTTTTATCCTGCTG